ATAATTTAGGCGGTGGGAAAGAACTAGATGGGGGAAGTGACCCAATGTAGCTAGACTAGCTTCATAGGGGGATGAAGAACAGGTGCTTTTCTGTCTCCTGTTGACATTTTTAGAATAGTTTTATGGGAGGACAAAGATTTTGAGTTGTCAGATGCATAGGACAGTGAGTTGGTGCATGTGTCGAAAGGGAGATTGTTTCCCTCTTATTTTTAGAAAGCACAAGTTTTAAACTAAATTTGAAGATAATTTAAGAATTTTTTAAAACCCATGTTGTTGTTTTTTAAAAACCATGCAGGTACTTTAACTTTCTTGGACTCAACATGTAGGAATATTGTGAGTCTGTCATATCTTCTGCAAGTGTAGAATAATGTAGATTTATTCTGGAAGTTCTAAAGTGGACTCATCTAGAATCTATTCTTCCTTGGTATCCCTGCTTGCATTAGAGAACAAAAAGACAGCACAGAAGTTTTATTTGTTGTAATTGTGGACTCTGTGCAGCACAATGAGAAGTGGCTTGGCCATAGGATCCAGTTCATGACTTCTTCATTTCTCCTCTTACGGAGAAGTATTCAGACCTTCATCCTGTGAGCTGCTGAACTCTGGCTCAGATCCAGTAAACATTTACGCATGAGCTTAACTTTGTCTGTGGTTTGTCCCAAGTCAGTGTGACTACTTACATGCTTAAATACTTTGCTGAATTGGGGTCACAATGCTCAGCTCCTTGTAGAACCGAGTCCGTAACGCTTTCCTCTACGCTTCTAGGTGAAGTTCCTTTCTTCATCATCACTTTTTCTGCTCCTTCTCTTCTTAGCTTTTTTCCCTTCCTTCCTCATCCCCCCCTCACCTTCCTAGGGATGAAAGTAACATTCAACATTTACTGGTGCCGGCCCCTGAAAGGGGTGAGGCCTCAGGTGCAAGGGGCGTCAGCGTCCCCCAGCCAGCTCATCCGCGCAGCCTGGCCTGCGCCGCCAGGGGCTCCAGCGGCGACTTAAAGGGCCCGGGCTCTGGCCGCTTTAACGTTGCTGCCTCTTCCCCCTCCCCCCTTCATCGTCCTTGCCGGTGGGGACCCGGCAGGGCTGCCGATGGGGGGTGCAAAAGGGGCAGCGACATTAAAGTGCTTTAAGCGGAGTTGTTAAAGCACTGCTGTGGCAGTGCTTTAACGTTGGCTAGTAAGCCCAGTACCTGCCGCCCCTTTTTACTGGTACGCCTTTCCAGCCCGTACTGGCTTACTTTCACCCCTGCACCTTCCTAACATATATCAGAGTCTTAGCTGCCAAAAGTATATGCAATGACTGGCACTTCTGTCAGTGAGATACTGTGCATCACTGTCTGAAGAAGATGAAGTTTCCTTCTCCTTCTCTCTCTTCCGGTCCTCTGAGGAGTTTGATTCTGGCAGACTCAATGATGGGGATGTGTGATTAATTACAAAAAATCTAATATATATAAATAAAGATCAAAGACTCCTTTTAAATAGAAAAATACGAAGGAAATGTAAGATTTTTTTTTTAATACCAGTCTTCACAAATATTATTGACTCGTGGACTGAGTGGTAACACCTTCCTGAGAAGAAACTTGTTCCTGTTGTATGTTCATAACTACTTAAGATTCAAGAATATGAAAGAAACCTGCTATTGTATCTATACTATAGATGCATCAGATTCTCTTTTTTAATAAAAAGTTGGTCATTTCACTAGGACGATGCATCTTCAAAAGATCCAGTTAACAAATGAATTCCATGTAATTTAATCACCTCTGCGAATGTCGTGAACTTCCCCTCAGCAGTTTGTGAAACTCTCTCCCTCACTCGCTTCTGGATGATAATTCTCCCTCTCTGCTAGTTCAAGAAATAACGCAGGTTTTTGATTCTCTCTGCTAGATCTACCTGAAGGAATCATTCTTCCACATTCTTATCCACCTATTTCACTGTTTCTGTCAGACACTTCAAAACAGGGTTCAATTTAAATACCTTCAAACTTAGGCTCGTAGTTTTCTGTTTAAGAAAAAAAAACAGAAAACAGGGTTGTTTTTTTTCTGTTTACGTTCATATTGTCTATTTCCTTAAATCCATTTAAAGACTTAAGCTGTAAGCTGACTTCTTCTGAAACCAAATCTCAATTTAGTGCTGCAGGTTCTCATTAAACCTTTCTATTAACCACTCCAACAAGCCCCTTAGTATTATCCATTACTTGACTCCCTTAAAATAGCCTTTTTTAGTGGCTCTCAATTCAGACTATATCTGAATTTTTTTCTGAACAAAGTGATCGGTGTTCAGAATACCACCCTCCTCCCTAAATACCTAAGGTGCTCATCCCTAAGATCACCTCCTTATTTCATGTCCGTGAGAACATCTTACCATCTCTGCATTCTAAGCAATCCCAAAGAGACCATTTTGTAACAAATAATGTGCATTGATTGTTATTTTTGCAACATCGTGACATTGCATTTTTCACATTTTGGTGTTTATATCAATAAGTTCTTTATTGACACATCAATAAAATGTGAAGACATAGCTACTGTGACATCAGCCATAATAATCATAAATGATTACATGGTCTTAAAAGGATAAGATAAACAGGTGACAACCCAACATGCGTGCACACATCCCACACATAAAATTAATTTTAACTTTGTAGTTAGATGTTGATAGATGTTTCGCTGTATGTGTGTGTGCTCTCTGTGTGATGCCCCAGCCCTACGCAGACAGCTGGCATGGTGGACCTCGAGCGAATCACTCAATGACCACAAAATCCATTAACGGACGAAGGCACCAGGCCAGGTTTATTGTTGACAAAGCGCAGTACTATTATCCCTCAGCCTCTACCAGACCACTAATACATGTATGCCCATAACAATGTACCAGCTCAGTGAGTGGCGGGACTTTCCGTTCCTTCCTAGGCCAGACAGAAATACTTCCTCTGAAATACATCCTTATACCTCGATACAAAGAAGTTAGTATTGCCCCTCTAACATAGTTAGTTACTGCCCCCTGATGGGGCTAGTTATTATTCATCACCTTGTACATGTTGGGTCAATCAAAACATCTTTATACGTAATATCATCCTGACATTTTTTAGAAGGGGTCAGTGCGTTCCTGTTGTCCTTGGGGAATGTTTTTGTACCATCCTTGATATTAGGATGTTCTGGTACCACTTGATATCGGGATGTGTTTGCTCTGTGACTAGGAGTGTGTATTTCTGTAATATCAGCCCTGTTCTTGCCAGGTCTCTGATACAAGGGCTTATGTCTCAGGCTCTCTTCCTACTAAATTCCCCCATTTTTTGTCTTTTTATGGGGAGGATATTTACCCATCGTCCCGGAAAAGCATAATGCTTGGACTGAAGATGGCCCAGTGGGCTAAACACTGTTGTTATGTGGCCACCTTACTTTCCCATTCACATATTCACGCCCCGTCTGTTCCTTAGTCTGCACGTTCCCTTGTACGACTGATGGACAGATTTTATTTTCCAATTGTTTTTAGTCCCTTGTAGTGGACCTGAGAATGTTAGGCCTGGCACCATGACTGAGGCATGGGGTGTAGAGTTGTACCTGTGGGTGACATGAGGAGGCCTTTATACTTAGTTGGTGGTCAATGAGATGGGCTTTGGTCAGGATGATTATAATATGCACATGTGTATATGTTTGTACCTTAAACATTTATTATAGGACACATTTGGTTCAACACACCTCGCAGAGTATCCAAGTATACTGATGTCCAACAGCCTTTACAAACTGGTATAAGTACAAACATTTGCTTTAAAAATATTAATAAGCATTTGATTATCATGATTATTCATTACTATGGCAGTGTTGATGGTGGCTGACCTGGGTCATTCCACAAACTTTAAAGCACAAATTCTGAACTTCAAAATAGTATCCGTGTTAAATGTCAGTTGAGAAAATATTGGTATTCAGTAAGCTGTTCTTCCTCAACACTTTCTGTTGCGGTGGGTAACTTTTGCTTCTTAACTGATTGATCAGTCAGAGAGAGGTTCTTCTCTCTTAAATCAAGCCAATGGGAAAAGCCATACAGTCTGGTATGACTACTCTTTTGATGGTTAACCTTAATCCTACTTTGATCCCCATATAAAATTTTGAATATCTTAATAATGTAATAGTTCTGGTTCTAATTTTCGAGTACAAAGGACACACAAGTTCCTTACACTACGTGTGTGTGCACACACAGAAAAGGAAAATAGTTACTTTCACCAAAGGTGATTGCAGTGGAATTGCTGGTGGACCTGCATAATATTATCCCTTAATAGAAGATTCTAAGAAAACTGTTATGAAAAGTACATTTTTCACTTAAGAAAACCCACTTTTGTTGGCTAGCATTATAGGGGATAAACGAGGAAAAACCATAATTCATGCTACTGGTATTAAAGTAATTTTTATGCCACCCTATTTCCAGCTGAATGTGTAAAACCACATTTGTAAGATTTTGCTTGTCTGAAGGATGCATGCAAATATTATTATATTTTCCATATTGCAGTATTTTCAATATTTTTTAAGTTCAGTCTTCAAAGTATTTTAAAATGTTGAATAACAGACTTTATACTTTCATTTTGATGTTGGATAAGGCTTTGGTTTAAAGAATGCATAATGAAATCCTGAACTGTATTATACTTTAGTAAGCAATCTTTATAAGTCACTTGTGGCTATTTCAATCATTGGTTAACTGGACTCCTCTCACTCAAGGGATATTTCTAATTTTCAAACTGGAATACTTTGACTTTCTGCTGTTTTCTTTGGCCTGGCTTTGATTTATACAGACATGGATTATAGGGGCTTTGAATCTGTGTGTATGCATGTTTAACAAGTCCATATACATTTTTAATGTACCAGCACAAATGCTTCTTCCCTTTTAGTTATGTTTCTCCATAAATATATTATTTTCCAAATAAAGTTTAATTAAGTAATTTAGATTTTTCTGGTGTAAACCCATAATGAACTCCTGCCTAAGGATTTTTTTTTTTTAATTTAAACCTTCATTGTCTCCACAGGCATCAGAAGGTGTCACCTTTATTGGACCTGACACACATGCTATTCAAGCTATGGGAGACAAGATTGAAAGCAAATTATTAGCCAAGAATGCAAAGGTCAACACAATCCCTGGCTTTGATGGAGTGGTCAAGGTGAGAAACTGTTTAACTGCTGTCTCTCCTGTATAGGCTCTCACATTGTTTAAATAAAAGTACCACTCTTTTCAAAGGTGTGATATAGGATGCAATTATAAATTCAATATTCCAACTTCAATAGAAGATCCAACTGAAAAATGTCATGGTCCTGATATTTTCAATGGCAAAAATGCTTCTGAAGAAGAAGAGCTGTTGGAAGAATAGAATGAATTGTCAAATATTAAGCAGTATGCCATGGACGGCATACGAAGTGTGATTCCTCAAAACATCTCACATTTTAAATTACATTTGAGATAGTTAAGACAGGAATACGAGTTTAATACACCAGGTGTAGGTTGGTGGTTGTGAGTGTGTGTGTGTGTGTGTGTGCATGCATGCATGCATGCATATGTACCTTGATGTGTATTTTTCTTCCTTCATTTTCCCACCAGTTGTATTAACTTTATTGGCATGGCCCAGGTAAAGTGTTGCCAAAGTTAATATGTTAAGTATTTGTGGGCAGCACAGGTTTTGCAGGGGCAATGGCATTTGATACACCATGTCTATTTTGTATTTCTCCCCAGGACTGAGTCAGTTGTAGACTCCCACATATTATGAGACTGGTTCTATAAAAAAGCTCTTTTCTTTTCTTTTCTTTTCTTTTCTTTTCTTTTCTTTTCTTTTCTTTTCTTTTCTTTTCTTTTCTTTTCTTTTCTTTTCTTTCAGACTTATAAGCAGTGTTTCTTCCCTGCTTTTAGTAGGAATTCTTACACTATTTCCCATAGGTTTTTCAACCATCTTTGCTCTGTTTCTTACAGCGAAACGGAAAATATTTTGATTTCATCTCTCCTTTGACATATTGATTGTGATGTTGGTCTTCTATTTTTCTACCTTTGTGTGTGTCTGTGTATAGGCTACATAACGGGCTCATAATACAAAACTGTTTTCACATGCTGAATACTTGTTGAAATGTTCACCTTTTGGGGTTAAATTTCTCATTGTTGGTCTTCATCTTCAAGTTGAATTTTTGGGATAAATTTGAGCAAAAATCCCTTCATTTGTTTTTGTTATGGGATAAAGTTATAATCTTGACAGTTGGCATTTACCTGGACCTCTCAAGGCTTTGTGTACATTATGAAATATTGTTGCGCTTTGAAGATGATTGTGAACAAATGAATTTCTTGACATAATGCTGACCATGATTTAGGGCTTGTCTACTTGGGGATTTCATGGGGATTTTAGTGCAAAATATCTAGGGTGTGAATTTAAAGTGCGAGAGTGCCTTTTTGTGGTGTAGGTTAATCCTCTTCCAAAATGGATTAAGCTAAACTGCACAAAAGCATTCTTTGCACAGAATAAGTGTGTCCACACAAGGAGATGGTACTAAATACTCACTGATAGCTATACTGTACTAGCTATTCTGGGCTTTTCCCTTGTAGACAAACACTTACTGATCTGCATAGACCAAGACACACACTGTTCAGCATCATGTCAGCTACCTAGGATTAAAACCTTCTGGTGTTTTTTGCTGGAAGGAATGAGTGACAGAGAGATTAATGGGAGAGAGGGAAGTAGAGAGGACATGATGAGGGGAGAAATTGAAAGAACATATCCTACGGACCTGGGAGCAGAGGTAGTCCTTCATCTCCAAGTTCTGCGTTTTCACTAAGGGTATATCTACACTGCCCACGTTACAGCATGGCCATGGCGGTGCTGTGACGTGGGCAGTGTAGAGACACTTTATCGCTGGGGGAGAGCTCTCCCGGTGATTTTAAAAAAAACAACAGCCCACCCCCCAACAAGTGGTGGTAGCTTTGATAAAGCGCTGTCTATACTGGTGCTTTTCAGTGCTAAAACTTTTGTCACTTCATGGGGTGTTTTTTCACACCCTTGAACGACTAAAGTTTTAGCGCTGAAAGTGGCAGTGTAGACACAGCCTAAATCTAGCTTTTCCTGCAGCAAGAGAAGCCAGCCTGGCTTTTACACAAGTAGCTTTGCTTCCATTATGCTTTCCCCATAGAGAGACAGCTTTACAAAACCATTTTTTCCTATGTGGATTCTTCTTTGAATTGGCCTGAGAATGACCTGGACGCTGGATGCTAGTCACCTGTGGATCTGCATACTCTAGGCCAGGGGTCTCAAACACGCGGCCTGGGGGCCGCATGCGGCCCGCGGGGTTATTTTCTGCGGCCCGCGAGCTCCTAGCGGCCCCCCTACCCTCCTCCAGCGTTTACCTAGAGCAGCTCTGGCTGGACGCGCACCGGAGAAAGAGCAGGCTCCCTGCCTGCCTGCCCTGCCCCCTCGCCACTCCAGAAAGCGGCCAGAACGTGAGAAAGGAGGGTGCAGGGTCTGTGTGTTGCTTTTGCTTCAGGCACCACCCTCAGCAGCTCCCATTGGCCGTGGTTCCCTGTTCCCAGCCAATGGGAGCTGCTGGGGGCGGTGCCTGAAGCAACAGAAACAACCGTGCACCCTCCCTTCCCCAGATTCCAGCTGCTTCCCGGAGCCCGCCCCCCGAACCCATCCTGCATCCCAACCCCCTGCTGCATCCCTCCTGCACCCCTCCCCCCGCCGTACCCCACACCCTTCCTGCACCCTGAGCCCCTGCCACATCCCACACCCCTTCTGCACCCCCTGGGGGCGTGGAGGGGCAGAGTTGGGGTGGGGATTTCAGGGAAGGGGTTGGAATGGGGGCAGGGAAGGGGTGGGAAGAGGCAGGGCAGGGGCGGGGCCTCATGGAAGGGGTGGAGTGGGGGTAGGGCCGAGGACGGTGGCGGGGAGGTGTCAGTAATGCGGCCCTCAGGCCAATGAACTAGTCCTCCTGTGGCCCTCGTGGTCATTTGAGTTTGAGACCCCTGCTCCAGGCAAAATAGCATTGCTAGTGCTGGAGATGGAAATGCCTGGGGCCTGCGATGTCTGAAGGACTCGTGTTCACAAATAATAGTGTTCACAGGCATTTTACAATGGCATTACCATCCTGGAGAGTACACTGCCTTGGATCAAACCTTTATAAAGCCACTACCTACGCTGGTGTACTCTCTGCTGGTGCAGTGCTAATGTTGATGGGAATGCAGAGGTGTTGCAGCAATAATAGGTCATCTTGGATCCATTGCAGGCTTCTATGTCCTGCCTTTCAGCAACTGCTCCATACAAGGTTCGGAAGACTTAGCAACAGTCTGGCTGTTAGCCAGCTGAACTCTGCTCTTCCTGATACCTTGTCCCTCATTCTAACAATCCTAAGAGCAAGTGAGGACTGCAGCTGGAAAAAAATCTGATGAGTAGGACCCATGGAATTGAATATTCATAAATAGCTTTTATTTTACACATGAAACCATCAACTGTTTATGGAACACTTAATATTAAAAATGCTCATAAAGTTGTTTTATTGGGCTATGTCTATATTGGCAAGTGAAAAACAAAACTTGTGTCGTTCAGAGGTGTTGGAACCCCCCCACCCTCGAAAGATGAAAGTTTTGTCGACGACAAGCACCGGTGTGAACAGCGCTCAGTGTGGAGAGCGCTCCTGCGGACGCCGCTCATTGGGGGTGGAAGTTTTTTGTCGGCAGAAGAGCCGACAGACAGCGGCTACGCTGTGTGCATTTTAGCGGCCCCGCCGTAGTGGCACAGCTATGTTGCTAAAAACTGGTAGTTTAGACACAGCCTTAATGTTTTTAGGTACTGGTTG